CATTATGCTTATATAATCTCTATCAGCAGTAGGCTAAGGAATTCCTATGCATTACTTGTTATGAATTAATCTCTTGGGTTTTCAATTGAAGTCCTTTTCCACTATCTGTAACCTAATGTTTTACTGATTGAATTTCATAGGAAGCTATGGAAGTTATGTAAGCAGAACCTGTAGCTGATGGGCAGCAACCAATGACTAGTGTTGATGTTGTTTCCAAGGTCCTCTACCTCTACTAGGGCAAGCCCCCCTCCCAGGCAAGCAAAGAAAACCTTTTTTGAAGAATGCTGGTATCCTAAGAAGCTCCACTAGAGCAGAGACATTGGCGGAGATGACATTTTAGGAGCAGCTTGCTAGTGAACAGGAAAGTACCACTACCCTCGTCGAACTAGTGGATGAATTGAAGAGGAAGATAGAAGAGTCTGAAAGGGAGTTTGAGGAATTCAAGAAATGGCAGCAGGAGGAGTACAATAGGCTTTGTGAGCAAGTCATGTGCTTACACTCTCTTGGTAATTAACTCTCAGTCTTTAACTCCTGTGGCTTGATGCGGTGAACATTTGTGGTCTGTTGTGTGGACTCATGTGATGGTTTGTTGTGGTGATACTCTGTTAGTGGCTTGCAGCTGACGTGCGAAATGTTAATTGTTGGTATTTGATTGTCAGCTTGAATAATTATGTTGTCAATCTGTGTAGTAGTGATGATCTTGAATTACTTTTCTGATATAATTAGTCTTGCACACGGTAGAACCAGGACAGGCCATGTGATCAAATAAAAATGTGACACGTGGACCAACAACTGCATCGCACGTGAATTAACCAGGGCACAACATGTGGGCTATTAAAAATCCGACACATGGAAGGAAATCGTCAAGCCACATGGACGTACAAAAATATGACACGTGGACGGACAACATCGTGACACGTGGTCAAATAAGAAATGGACACGTGGACCAATAATAATACAATACGTGGTCCAATGAAGAAGTGACACGTGATCCAATGGCAACACAACACGTGTGCTAGTAGAAAACTGACATGTGGAACAACAGGGAACCGACACGTGGTCCAATAAGAACCTGAAGTGTGCAAGAACCAGAGATGGGCATGTTGTACAATAAGAAGGTGACACGTACCCGAACCATCTCCAATGCAATCGGCTATAGCATGTACATGTGGAAAGCATCTCCAATGGAAGCACCCACCAGCGTGGCAACCCCCCTGCCACGCATGCCAAAACAGTTCTATGACGTTCTATTTTTGTCACAGATCAAGCCACTTCTATGACGATTTGTGAAAACCATCATAGAAGTTCAAGTATGACGCGACTTCTATAACGAACCGGTTTCCATCATAAATTCATCATAGAACCGAAATTATGATGAATTTGGCTCCTTCTGTGACGAAAGCTGATCGTCATAGAAGTGGATATTCCTAGCAGTGTGGGGTAGCTTGCACCATGTTGATGAGGCTTGGCTTGAGTTCAAACTCAAGGTTGTTGGTTTTCAGTATTGGTCCAGTGCGAATGTTCTCAGTGCTTAGAATAGAGAACTCACGTAGTGTCTTGTTAGCCATAGCTTCAGAAACTTGGTGTGGAGCTGCCTCTTGATTGGGTTGATTGTGATTGATGGAATTTGTTGATGAATCAAAACCAATCCTGCAATACCCTGTATAAAATATGAACAGATAAAAACAAGGGTAAGCCTGCTTGAGCAGTGGCGCATAGTTATGATATCATCAATAAGTATTTATTTGATCAATTCTCTTTAGCCTTGTGCCCTCTCCGGCAACGGCGCTAGAAATGCTTGTTGACACTTCCTAGCATCACTACTAGAACAACACTAAGAAGTGTACTTGGTATTTACTTGTGACTTAGAAAGAATATATATAATTGAGAATGTTTTGTAAACGCATAGATATACAATTGTAGCACTTCATCTGGGAGTATTTTAGGTATCGTTATTTATATTTTATCACAGGGAGGAGCGGTGGCTAGAGATAATGATAAATATGATACTTATGATGAGATCACTAACTAAACACTTACTCTAAGCAGGGGTAAGCCAAATGATATATACAATAAGAGCATGGCAATGATAATAATCTAGAGATAGAAATAGATACTCATAAAGGTAGTATAGCTAGAGTAAGTGATAAATTAAGAGAAAGATTTCTAAGTCATTCCTACGTACTAAATCTTATGTCCACCCCAAGTATATATACTTTCATCTATAGTATAATTAACTCTTCATCTATACATAAGGAACATTACTAAGGAAGATCAAGAACAGAGCTTGACTCCCTTCGCAATTAGGTCTTACTTGTTCTACAGACGGGGAGTGGACTACAAAGGACTCAACAAGAGTGTCACACTCGCGATCTACCACATGGCCTGAAATATAGAATGCATCCGTAGGTAAACAATATATAAGCACCGTACTTAAATAATATCAACCACTTAACTCACTCGAGTATTGAGCTAAGCACTTTGCGAACTTATGCATAAACTTAGTATCAATTATGACTATATCTAGCATACTACCGAAGCAAACTAAGAACATAACAAATAGAAACATAATATAGATTAAGCATAAAGTCATGAATAATAGAGGATACAATGGTTATACCAGCCTCCAGATGATGAATCTAGAATCCTAAGCAGTAGCCTAACTCTACTTGAATCTACTAGCTAGCTTATACTAAAACTTTGAGGAATTGGAGATCTATTCTATTCTCTCTAGTAGATCTTCTCAAATAATTGTGGAAGCTCTGAAGATGATGATGATCAACTGATTGATTGATGCCTCAGGGGGGTCTGGGGTGATATATATAGGGGGTAGCGTCAATTCTGGACCCTCGGATCAAATCGACCTTGAACAATGGCGTAGTTTTGATCTTTAAGGCGGTGGAAAACCAACGTAACGAAGAGGGGCTGACTGGTGGGACCCACAAGTCGGCTGGCCTGCAGGTGTAAATACTTTGGCCCCACATGTCAGGGTCTCATGCTCTGTTGCGGTGGTTTGCCTTCTAGAGTGTTTTGGAATCTTCCTGAGTTGGTTTCGTCGCGGATAAGCGTGATTAAATCTAACAATTGGGTCCACCTTGATGGTTTTCTGGATAAACCCTGCTGAAAACACAGATTCACCAAAACTCATGGAATTTGTTAGTAAAAACCCCTAAACCTATCTGGATAATCATTTTTATGCATTTATACAAGTTATATTGATGGTTTATGATGAGTGTTAACTACCGTCAACATTCTTGAATGCAATCTCGCCGAAATTGGTGTCAATTATGTTCATCTTATGTTGTATATAACAACTAAGACGTTGTACTACATTTTATATAAAGGACTTATAATATATCATTTATATTTATAATTGATAAAAAATATTATAATTATGTCCATCTTATTTATTATGATCTATTTGTATCAACTAGCAACAGAATGGTACACAAGAATGACTGTCTGTGTGTGGATTCCAACAAATTGTAGACATCCCCCGTCTGTGGGTTTAATATGCCCTAACAGGTCCAAGATGCTCATCACCGTATGATAAATCTACAGCATATATTGGACTAATGATACAATCGTCGATGTTCTTTAATCGCTTCATATGTGTTTTGGACGGGTTCCAGGACGACATTGAATATTGCGGCATGTCTAAAGTTTTGGGATTTATCGTTGTAATTGATATAATGACTACACTCTGACATCGTTATTCAACAAGATTCTATCAATCTAGAGCATTGGCTGCGTCTAGAAAAAGTCACTAGGGAAGAAGACGATGAAAGAATATGGATATAATACTATATATTTTTTATTTTTGGTTTTTTCATGTGTAATTTGAGGATGTAATGTGCCAAATTTTAATATAACTAATATAAAAAATCAATATAATTCCCTTCCCTTTGCAACGAAGATGTTGCCGGCGTGTCATAGATGCAATCCACCCAACATATCTAGAACTTATAGGATCATACATGACAAGTTGATGCATCCATTTACATGTTCTACAATTTGTTGCACTAAAAATACAACCAAGCAATTGTTTGGTGGGTCCAACTAACATATATACCTAAACTATAAGGCATCAAAATATTCAAAATTTGTTGCAAATTATGAGAAAATATAGTATATGTGAATTAACTCCCCTACTTATATTTGTTAACAGCCCTAGCCCGTATCCAAATCATATGCATGCTTGACATTAATACCTTTGTCAATAAAACTATGAAACTCAAAATAAGATAAACACAGTATCTCTCCATGATTAAGTGAGGGTTAGAGTGACTCTAAAAGACTCTTTATATCCTTCCATAATAATATGAATAAAGATCTAGGTAGAATAATTATTTTCAACAACATCTTCTCCTAGATCTCCAAACATTCTCACCCTTTATTCTTGGTTTCTCGCTCATCAAAAATATAGAGTAGAGCTAAATTTCGGACGAAATAGAAGTTGTTGGAGGGATGGAGAGATATAAAGATTGATTTTCATTATTATGGCTCCCAAATGAGGATTTAGAGAGTGGATTTAAGAAAAGTTATAGAAAATGTTCTTAATATGTTATTTGGTTTACTCTATTATCAGTTCTAAAACTTTTACTCCCTCCGTCCATAAAAGAATGCAATTCTCGCTTCCCGAGAAGTCAATTAGTTTGAAATTTGATCAAAGTTATATAAAAAATACTAACATTTCTGATACACAAATTAGTATCATTAGATTAGTCATAGAATAGATTTTCATAACGAATTTATTTAGATAAACAAATATTAATATTATTTGCTATAAACTTAGTTAAACTTGAGCTACTTTGACCGGTATGGATCCCATAATTACATTTTTTTTATGGATGGAGGGAGTATATACTTTCTATTTCACAACTGAGTAAGCGCTGTTTTTTTTTTTTTTTTTTGAGCAAAAGTAAGCGCTGTTTCTACAAATCCCTCAGCTGCCGTGGGCCACGTGCAATGGAAGCGCTTCGTTTTGCTTCAGTTTCGAAATGGTCCGGAGTGACGTTGATCCAAGTGAGCCCACTATACCATTTCAACAACAAAAAAGTGAGCCCACTATACAGGAATTACCCTCGGGCCTCGGCTATGTTGCGGCCAGAACCCAACGCAAACCCTTCAATCCACCGCCGCCAATGACCGGCGGCGACTCCTCTCCGACCCTGGCGCCGCCGCCGAAAGGCGGGAAGGAGCCAAGCACCACCACCACCACCACCCTCTCCCTCCGCGCGGGCCTCCCATCTGCAGCCGTTACCGATAGCGGTCATGGCCGCCGAAAGCAACGGCGGCGGAAGGCACGCCGAGCTTCACCCATACACAAGCTCGGCGACGACCTCCTGCTAGAGGTCTTCCACCGCCTCCCCTCCCTCGCCACTCTTGTCCGTGCCGCTTTCACCTGCCGCGCGTGGCGCCGCGCGGTGGCTTCCTCCCCGGACTTCCGCCGCCGCTTCCGTGCCATCCACCCGGCACCCCTCCTCGGTCTCTTCTTCGATGCCCCCGGTCCCGTGCCGGATTCTAACGCAACTGCCTTCCCAATCTTCGTCCCCTCCCGCCGCCGCGACAGGGATCTAACTGCCGCCGTCCGCGGCGGCGATTTCTTGTTAACCTGCACTGAGGACCTTCCCGACGAAGCCCCTTCCTGGGAAATGGTCGACTGCTGCCATGGATGTGTCCTCCTCATGAACTGGGAACTTTCATCACTCGTCGTGTTCAACCCTTTGGCGCGGCAGAGTGAGGATGTCTTTGATGTGGGCTCTGACGATATGTTTGACAACCACCGTGGCCACCAGTACGGCAATGCTATCCCTCGCTTGCTCATCTCTGCCGAGGACCCTACGTCATTCCGCGTGGTGCTTCTTGTATATGACAAGTGCAGGGTAAGGGCTGTGTGTCTTTTCTTCGGACAGTTGGGAATGGTCAGTTTATCCCTGGGCAGACGTTCCGGCGAGTTCAGGTGATGATGCATGGATTCAAGATGCGGGTGGCATGCAAGCCAATGGGCATCTGTACTGGGTCTACAAGGATCAGAGGTACCTCATTTCACTGGACACCACCACGATGGAATTCTGCATCACTGTGCTCCCACACTACCTTAGGTATCGTGGCTTTGATGTTGGTGAGACGAAGGATGGTGCAACTTGCATTGTTTTTTCAGATAACCTGAATGTTGGTGTCTTGATGCCCACAAGGGATAATGATGGCGTCGAGAGATGGGTGCTGGATAAGGTAGTACCTATCGACAGAGAGCTTGAACGAGCTCTTCGTGTCGGATTGGATGATGGCAGTGTCGTGGACCATTTGGTAGATGTCCCTAGTGCTCTGTCTGTTTTTGCAGTCCGGGATGGCTATGTGTATTTGGCAACATTGGCAGATAATCCTCAAAGTCCATGTTGGTTATTGTCCTTATGCTTGGAAACGATGAGTTTGGAAAGACTGTTCAAGAATATGTCTGAGGATGCTGCTCATCCGTATATTATGGTGTGGCCTCCTTTAGTCGGCAACTACGGCAGGTTTGCAGTTGAAGATGCTCCTAGTCCTTGAAATAAATCACCAGGCATTGATTTATCTGTTATCATTTCTCAGTATTGGTGGAAGATTTATGACCCTGGTTTGTTTCTTACGTTGTCCGTTGTGTTTATCTTTAGTTGTTGGGGTGTGGCATCATAAGTCTCTTTTGTGGTCTGTGCAAGTCACTTCAGCTTAAAAGTGCATGGACTGATTCCTTTTGAACCTTTGTTGTTGGTGAAACAATGGGTGAAACTACTTGCATAGAGACAATGATGGTGTCAAGAGAGGGTGCTGGAAGGTTAGTCCCTTTGGGTATGGAGCTCGAACCAGCCCTCTATGGCTAGTTGAATGACAACTATGTGTCGATTCCTTTGGTGGATGACCCTATTGACATGATTTTGTTTTTGGAGCTCTAGGATTGTTGAGTAGATTGGACAACATCCATGATGTTTCATGATCCCAGGACGCCTTGGTGGTTCCTGTCCCTATGCCAGGAAATCACGAAAGTTGGAGAAGCTGTTCCAGATGATGTATGGCTGTGACGTGCTGATGTCATCTGTACATTATGGAGTGGATGCTTTTTTTAGCTGGTAACTGCTAGCATTTGCACTTGAAGGTGCTTCATTGTGTTGAATACTGGGATTTGGGCATGTGTCGAGGAAAACAATCAGAATCTGTAAAACCAATCTCTTGTTCTGGAGTAAATCAAATTTCCTAGGTGAATCCAATCAAGTTGCAATGTTTAAGGTCCAATGAGTTTTCAATCCAATTTTTTATTTTGTCATTGTAGTTTCTTAGCTCCTGTTCATCTATTAGACATTAGCATGCCTAAGCATAGATTCAATGATTCTGAGACTAGTATGCTGCTTTGGTGTCTGTTGTGTTTGTTTTTTAGGTTCTAGATTGCGATATTAGGAGTTTCTTGTGGTATGTCTGTTAAGACATTGTCAGCAACAGAACACGAGATATATTCTCTCTTCATTGCAACAACACTCATGCAATTTTTGTCATTTAATTAGGGCCTCTTTGGCACGGCTTATACCGGCTTCGGCTTCATCTATTTTGCGCAAATCGAGGCACTGTAGCGTGAAGCCGTTTTGTAAGCCGGGGTTAAAATGAACTAGAAGCCGAAAAAAGCTAGTTTTTCTGGCTTCACCGGTGAAGCCGTTTTGGATGAGCCGTGCCAAAGGGGGCCTTAGAGTGTGGAACATTGCTTTTCTCAATGTTGACATGGTTCTGCGTTAGTACTGGAGCTCTAAAAATGGCAGTAAAGCCTCTATGTCCTTAATGTATGGTATATTGACATTCAGGGAATTTACTTGTTCATCCCCGCCTTACCCCCATTCGTCCCTACCTGCACCAGTGTACCAATTACTGGAACCTGGCTGCCACCATCGCCACCTCTTCCTCACTTCTACATCCATCACAATGACATTCTCAGTCACCGAGCTTCTGCATTGCTTCATGCCCTGATCCTTTGGACCTTGTCAGCTTTGATTTTGGTAAAACAAAGGATGGAATGACTTGCATTTCACAGTCGGATGATCTCAGAGTTTTTGTCTTGATGCACACAGAGGATGATGATAGTGTTCAAGTGTTGAGAGATGGGTGCTGAACAGAGTAGTTCACTTGGGCCGAGAACTTGCATGGACCTTCGAGACGGATTGGAAGTTGACAGTGTGCTGATTTCTTCAGTGGGCAACCCCTATGACCTTTTTGTTTTGGCAGTTGGGGTTGAGGATGGCTATGCGTATTTGACATGTGGCAACATTGGCAATATATCATGATCCCCAAACCCAGGCTGGTTCCTGTCTATACGTGAAACTGAAAAGACGGTTTTGGCAATCCCGTTCATCCATACATGATGGTGTGCTCACCTTCATTACTTCATAACTATGGTAGGTTTTGCACTAGATGCCCCCTTAAATGCAGTGCTAGGCATGGTTTTAGCTATAATTTAGTACTTAGCATGGCTCAGTTTTGGTATATAAGTTCTGAACCCAGTTTGCTTCTTAGGGTTTTACTTTTAGGTGTGGCATTGTTTAGTCTCTTTTGTGGTCTGTGTGTAAGATACTACTCCCTCCATCCTGAAAAGAACACAATTAGCATGATACCTAGTCAATGTATTTTAAGTTTGGCTAAGTTTGTACAAAACATATCAATATTTATGATAAAATGCATGTTATTAGATTCGTTATGGAATATATTTTTATAATATACCTATTTGAAATTGCATCGTTTTCAAGACAGGCACTACTCAAGAGAAATGTATTTTTTTCTTTAATGCTAGATATCTGTGTCATCCTGCATGCTAATGATCATGCTTGACTTTCTCAAAATTGATATTTTTATGTGTTACTTATACTTATAGCTATGAAAGATGGGAGTAGAACATGGAGTGTAATGCCTATAATTCTATGTAGAAGCATAATACAGAAGAACTTGAAAAATCATAATAAGTAATGTTTTGCTTACATATGAATAATTGATTTTATGCATGATACTATGGACTTATAATTCCTGAAGGATCCTACTTGGACTGAAGTTCTTACAGAAACTGAAGATTGTGTGGTGTTATAGGAAGTACAAGGGATATATAACAAAGGTTGTGATTTTGATAAGAGCTCAAATATAAGTCTCAAGCTCATGATATGGATCATCTAGTGCTGAAAAGTACTGTTGAAGAGAGTATCATCTTTCATCTGCTTAGCACCCTTGTACTTGTGCACATGCTGCAACTGCTATGCTGCTTTGATAGAGGGGAGTGACAGTGGTGGTTATGGTCACCATTTCAGTTTTAGGACAGGAAGCAAAGGCTGAGTTAATGGTCTACTTTGAAAGAAGCTCACTAACAAAATTCTCAACGATATGCTCCATGGCTCCATCATTGATAGAATTTGAAATTTTGTAATTCTTAATTGCCTGAAGTCATACGTTGCTTTTCTTATCTTATCTCAGATGCCACGGCCTAGCTAAGTAGGATCTATCTAGGCATGTGATTTACAGTGAGATATATGCAAATGAGTAAATGTTGAATTGGCTCATCATGTGCAGCTAGGTGGAAGTGCTAATGTTAATCTCCCTTCGTATTTGTGGAGCATCTGACTTTTGGAGCCTTTTGGGCCTCGTTGAATTCTCATTCCTTATCCATAGGCTAACAGTACAGTTCGGGTTAAAACCAATTGGTGCTACAATTTCTAACATTTGTATTAAAATGTAAATCCATTCAGGAAATCAGGGGTATCGTTACAGTGATATTTAATTTCTCTGGATGTATCCCTATTGAAATGCTGTAAAAGATGTTTAAGTTCTGTTATGGTGTTTAATAAAGTTTGTATTATTTAGTGCCATTGACTATTTTGTAGCTTTGGTGAATCTTTGTTATGTGTGCATGTTAAGCTTGCTCAAATTTTGAAAATGAGAGTACAATCCACTGGTGCAGCATGTGCAATGCATTACACTATGTGCAGTGTGCAAGACATTTCTTGAAAAGTAAAATGATTCATCAATAATACACTGGTATTACATTGGAAAACATGAGTTATCGTATTGATACCAAATGCGGGACTAACAAATGTGCAGTGTGAAATAGTTTGTTTAGGATCAACTTTGGAGAAGAAAATACAGAGTGATCCTTCATGTTCCATGATGCTAATGCTGTGTTGCATCATCTTCATAAATTACTTTGAAATGTTTGGAGTGTTAGCCTTCCTAGATGAGATTCAGTTGTCCAAGAAATCAGTACTTCCTGTGTTCCGTAATATTTGTTGAAATCTCACACAAAATAAGGGGTATTAAAGAGATAAACTATTCCCTCATAGTACATCACAATCCTTGATGGCTTGCATCCATATTGGCTGGTGCATTTGGCTGGGGGGATATGATTGGATGCTGCAGCTACATTGGTGAAGGGTGGGGAGAATGATGCTTTGGAATGTAAGAATGACAAATAATGTTAGAAAAAATTGAATCATTTTTTTTTTACCAAATCAGTAGGGGAGTCCCCTACCTATATTTTTTGCTTTTCAATTAAATAAAAGAATGAATGTACAGAAAATGGTGTTACAAGGCAGCCAGGCCCAAAGAAAAGGATAAAATTACATTACACATAGCTATCTCTCCATATATTGAGTTGATTTTGTCTTGACACCTTGCTTTTGTACACACATAGCCAAATTCTTCCTTGAACCTTATCTTCCAAGCAGTGATACTTGTCCATTATCGAAGATAACACCATTCCTGGTCAGCCAGATAATCCAACAGGCAGTGATGAAAATCTCCCTGAGTGCTCAGTCTGTCCCTGATAAGCAGCCAGAAGAAAAATTTATGTTTTCCCAAGTTACTATATGCCCACAGCCATGAGAAGAGGGGTCATGCTTCAGTGTGCCCTTGTAAGATTTTGTATGCTTTGTGGCTGCTGTATTTTATAGATCCCCAACTATAGCTCCAGATGTCATTGTCATTCTCATCAAAGTTTGATTGCTGAATACAGTTTTCAATTTCTACTAGCTGCGTAGCAGCCTGTTGTGATAGTGGCAAGTGAATAGTCTACTCTCATCTTGTTCAGTAAAGTATTGGATTGAACATCTGGATTTCTTGGTGAAAGAAAATAATTGTGGATATAACTCTTTGAAAGGCTGATCCTGACCAATCCATACCTGTGACCAGAAGAGTATTGTGTCTCCTTTGTTTGGCTTGCATCTAGCCACTGTCTGAAATTTGCTGAAGACACCAATTATCTCCTTCCACCAAAATGATCCCACAGGACTCCTGACATGAGGTGGGGTTTGATTATTGGCATAAAGCTTGGACCAAGTTAACTGAACCCAGGGGATATCACATTTGTTGTAAAACTTGTCCAAAAGTTTTAGCAAGAGAGCATTGTTCTGGCTTTTAATATCAATTATACCTAGTCCACCTTGATCTTTGGGTTTGCAGGCTGTTTCCCAAGCAACAAAGCATGTACCTTTTCTATTTATGTCACCTTTGCTCCAGAGACAGTGCTTCCTGTAGACATCTATTTGTTTGATCACTTGGGGGGGATAAAAAAAATGAATCCTAGAATGACACATGTTGTGAAACGGAGGGAGCAGGTGATGTGAATGGGCCTGTCTAGCATAGGTCTCTAATGACTAATCTGACAGGTGAAGGGAAAGGGGAGGTGAAGAGAGAAGTTTAGTCTGCCTTTTGAGTTTTGACTAAGGATCCTCGTTTGGAGGCACTGAAGTCTGGCATGGCAATGGGTCATGGGTGTAACGGATTTTCCTTTATTACCAGAGTAACCTCATAGGATTCGTATAAATTGCTGTACCGATAAAGTATGCAGTAGTGCAGTTAGTTTGGAACTTTTTTGTCTAGAGGAATGTAAAGTGTGAAACCTAAACAAACTTGAAAAGATCAGAAACAGAGAGAGGACAGAGGATGGAGACAGAGAGGGGACCGGTGAACAATGGCCGGAGTCTTGGAGCACTAGTGACAGTCGCACCATTGAGTTGCTTCATGCTTGACTGACGAAAGTATGCACCTAGTAGAGGAGAAATATATCAACAAAAGTTATACTCTTATGGCAGTACTGTGCTCCGGAACAAAAGCAAGTCTATATTGAAATAATCAAATGTTAGTAGCTTAATACCATGTACCTTGATTTGTCTACTAGCGATTGTTTCAGATACTATGTGAAAAATATTTGCAGGAGAGGCTGAGATGGATCAAGCACTTGAGAGGCCATCAGATTTTCAGTCACGTTCGTTTGGCTGATAAGCCATGGCTGAAAGTACTGTTGATTGATTTATTGTGAGAGAAAAATACTGTTCGTTGGTTGAAAAAGTACGGCTTATAAGCCAAGCAAACATGGCAATAGAGTGCTGCCTATTATCCCATTGAACTGGCAGCAGTCGTTGCCTCGCCATTTTTCTTTTCAAGGTAATGGCGGGAGCTCTGCTTTTTAATTAAGAGCTAAGTCCTTGTCATGGGACAAGGATATGAAATCCAGCGGGCCACAGTTATCCCTTTATTCCATTGAAGCCTCGTTGGGTGTCACACGTGGCTTGTATCCACGTGAAACCTCACTCACACGTGTATTTGATTGATCCACCTTGATCGGCCAATTCACTTTGGATTTCTGTTACATGTGGGGGGAAATCACATTTCTAATTTGTTCGTTTGGAAGGAGTGGGTTTACCAAGTGATTTCCCTTCTTCAGTATAGCGTATAGGCAACCAAGTCCAAACGAAGTGCAAATAAATGACAAAAATAGTAAAGTAGAAAAATTCGGGAAAAAATATTGAAAATTTTATTAAAAAAATATGACTCAAAAACCCTAATACCTAGAGAAATAAAAATAATTAATAACCTAGAACATGCATGTGCATACATGAATACATGACTGCAAGTAACGCATTTTGACTGTCTTCAATTTAACAAACTAATATGCATGATCTGGACTTGACGACAGAGAATGCTAGATAAAGAATACGGACTTGTCTTTGCCTTCAATTTAACAAATCATTTACACAAAGTTGCAGAGTTGCATCCTCATGCAAAATAAACATCTATGTTTGTAGGGCTTGACATCAACACAACCAGATTGCAGATCTTCTTTATTCTCTAGGGAATTTTTGCTGAATTGTACAAACACCCAAGGTAAACAGGGAATCACAAGTAGACCAAGCTTTAAAAGGTCATCACAAATAGGGCACCCATACATAACTACGTAACAAGACCAAGCTTGTGATATCTAACATTGCTCGACATGTGATGGAAATGTTTTCCTATCCATGAATAGGTTGAGAAAGCGAGGGGTCTTGTACAGTTTGAGTCCACCTGTGTAATGTTATTTGCCAATCATATAAACAAGCAAGTACAGAAAGCATTATATGATCCACCAGCACAAGAAATAGATTATGCAGAAAATAAAAAGCCTCATGCTGCTTCAGTACAAGGATAATTATTCAGTTAACTGAACAAATAGCACTTACAATTGCAAGTTTTCGATCGAAAAGGGTATCATGTGGTTCAAAGAAAAAAAGAGGACCATGTGTGATTTCCAAACGAAAAAATAAAAGACACTACATAAGAGGCATTATAGCATAAAGGAAGATGTGTGTTTCAGAAGCAAAACAGGAAACAAACTTGTCATTCGAACTAATGCACAATTGAATATCAAAGATATATGTACAGCCATGTAAAGGAACCACACTTGAACTGATTCCACAAGGCAAGGCAAATACCATAGAGAAGTACTATGATGGGAAGAGTAGTACCAGATTATGCAGTTCTAATCTCCTTCCTTAACCACTTGTTATTCGTGAAGAGAAGTACTAGGTCGCAATCCAAACAGCCCCAATAATATTTGGCATTGTACTGTCAGGCATTGTCAGCCATGGGATCAATTTATAGGTCCACGTTTTCTCTAAAAAACAAGGCAAAAGCTCTTAAAGAATGATTGAGTATATGGTAAAAGCTGTTGGAAATCAGAATGAAATCTAGTTAGCAACATATAAATGCAAGGACTTACTAAGCGAAAATACAAGATAAAAATTTACCTAACGAATCCTGCCTCACTGGTAGCGACCTTTTTTTAAAAGGACTGATACCTAATCTGGGTAAATACAGCAAGCCCTTGCACTCCCCTGCTAGTTCCAGACACCTCCATTCTCCAGGCCAGATTTAGTGGCCAGATACAATTATACAAAGCACATGCAAACAATATATATTGGGAGAAAAATGGCCTAGACAAGAATGCTGAAATGCAAGATATTATTGATGATAGCATGTGCTATGATGACCCGAAAACAAATAGGGTGTGCTATGAGACTGTGTGCTCTAAGTCGGATCGTCATAGCACAAAAGCAAAAGCTACTACGCAAATGAAGGGTTCTATGCATCTATCAATGACAAAGATTGAAAGTTTCATTAGGTATTACGTGGTTCAGAGAAAAACAGAGGACTATGCATGTTTAACTAATCTATAGTGGTGTAATTTAACTGGGAAAAGAACTAAAAAAAGAACAGCTAAATTACTACATCAATACACAAATTTGGTCCTTCATTGAATCATCGCGGAAATTAGTACACATGCAAATTCATGTAATCATGTAGAAGGGATGTAACCAGTATATCAGGATTTTTCACATACCTAACGTTCTGAGGACAGTATCAACACACAGAATCCTTGGTTTGTGATTTATTTTTGAACAGAAGGAAACTAATCCCGATCTCTTGGCAGAAAAAATATTACAGGGAGCCCACGAAAGAGAGTCATAATAACAGAACAACTAAAGACGACTCAGCAGTGAACATAAGAAATAGAATCAAATTCAGAAGTTTTTACACCAACATTGAAAGGTGGTAACTGGATGTAAATAAATAATAAACGACCAGGTTAAAAGACAGAGTTACAGGATAGACTGGAGACTAAAACTTGATTGGATCCTTCAGCATGATGTAGCTTCAAAGAACAAGGTTCCATGGCCCCTGGCCCCCTGGGCATGCTGATTTATATCCTCTCCTTCCTCCTTTGAAGGCACTTAATACACTTCATACCAGCATCAAGTGGAGAACTCCCATTGTTAGCAACTAAACAAGGAGGCCATGCCATAACATAGGGTTGTGCAGCACCGTCATATGTCCTCTGAAACAAATTCTCCAGTTTCATCGTTTCCAGGCAGAGCGACAAGAACCAACTTGGGTTCGCAGAATCACTGATCTTATTTGAAGTTGCCAAGTACACAAAGCCATTCCTGACTGCCACAACCAGGAGCTCATCATAGTTGCACTTCTGTTTCCTGAGAACCCCATCAAGTTGTGCATCTAATGGGGTGGCCCTGTCCAGCATCCACTTCTCAGTGCCATCGCCATCTGTTCTTCGCAGCATCACACCAACGGTGAAGTCAGTAGCATAGGCAATACAGCGCACACCGTTGTTTGTTTCCCCGACGCTGAAGCTGCAGCACCGATTCTTCAGGAACAGAGGGAGCTCCTCGGCAGAGAACTCCATTGTCGCCGTGTTCAGCGTGACCATATACTTGTAATTCTTGTAAACCCAGTACAAGAACCCATTTGATTGCATGCTACTGTTCAGAAGCCACGATTTTGATCGCCGTGGTCTCCCTGGGACATCAACCCAGGGGTGAACTTTCCACTCACAGGTGTCCGAGGAGAAGACAGTAGCCCGCACCCTGGACTCGTCGTAGGCAAGATGCACCACCCGGAACAATGCGGGCTCCTCCTCGGAGCAGAGCAAGCAGGCGTTGAGCTCCGCGGCAGTGCCATGGCAACCTTCGAAGGTGTCCACATGGAGATAGTCGAATAACCGGCACTGTCACGCCAGGGGATTCACCACCGCCATTGCTTGCGCACTTGACTGGTCAACATTACAGAGGAGGACGTAACCGCCGCGGCGGTCGAGGATGTCCCAGGAGTGGGCCATGCAGGGGTGCTGCTGGAGGCATGTCAGGAAGAAGTCGCCGCCGCGGAGGGCGACGGATAGGTCCCTTTCGCGGCGGCGCACGGGGAGGAAGGAGGGGAAAGCCGGGAGGGCCGGGTGTTGGACGGGGCTGGGGGGCTCGAAGAAGAAGCCGAGGAGGGGCGCCGGGTGGTGCTCCCGGAAGCGGCGGCGGAAGTCCGGCGAGGAGACCACCGCGCGGCGCCACGCCCGGCAGGCGAGCGCGACGCGGACGAGCGTCGCGAGGGAGGGGAGGCAGAGGAAGATCCGGAGCAGGAGGTCGTCCGTGAGGGAGTGGATGGTGGTGGTGCTTGTGGGGCTTGAATCTCTTGGGCGCTTCGCCGGCGGCGGCTGGTTGGAGACCCCTGGCGCTCCATTGCGGCGGAGATGCGGAACGGTTATCACAAGGCCCGTGATTGTTTCGAGTGATGGACAGGGCCACCCCATTAGAGCTCAGAAACAGAGAACTCCACACTCATGACTACGGTTATATCGTACAAAGATGGGCCTTGTGCTTTTTTTTTCCGTGATTGGGCCTTGTGGCAAATTTTCGTTCAAGACGTATTTGGGCAATTGGGTAATTGGGTATTGTACAGAGATGGGCAATTGGGTATTTGGGTAGGGTTCACCACCGCGGCGCTGCCGGTCTCCGGTTCGCCACGATGTCCCGCGGTATTGACCCAACCGAGCTGCCGGCGGCGAAATCGCCGAGGCTATCGGGACCCACCACCATCGACTCCCTCGACGAGGACATCCTGCTTGAGATCTTTCTCCACCTACCCTCCCTAGCGACGCTCCTCCGCGCCGCCCTCACCTGCCGCTCGTGGCGCCGTGCGGTGGCCTCCTCCCCTGCTTTTCGCCGCCGCTTTCACGAGCTCCACCGGGCGCCCCTCCTCGGTCTCGTCGCGGAGCCCCAACGCGACGTCGTCCCGGCCTTCGCGCCCGCCCAGCACAGGGACCGCGACGTGCTCGCGGCCATTAGCGGTGGCGACTTCGGCTTCGCCCTCACTGCGCTCCTGGATCCCCAAGGTTACGCGGCCGACGTGCCCCTCCACTGGCACATTCAAGACTGCCGCGACGGCTACCTCCTCCTCGCGAATTGGGACGCCGAGTTACTCGCCGCCGTCAAGGCGTCAACCCACTGGCCCGATACAGCACGGAGTAGTACAACACGGAGTAGTGTCCTGTTCGTGGGCTTATAAGCAGCGTATTTTTCTCTCATAATAAATCAGTCAACGGTATTTTCAGTCATGGCTTATCATGCCAAGCGAATAGAGCAAAGATAACCCCCACACGCAAAGCCTTGCTGAACGTGCGCACCACCTGCTCCAAAGCTCCTGGTGAACCTCCTGGGAGATCGCAGCACGCACCGATGCCGCAACCATCTTGAATCGAACCTTCCTCCCCTCCTCGCCGCGCCGGACATCGGGCGGGACCCTACCACAGGCTACTCGGCGGCGTCGTTTAAATGCACCGGTCCATCTAGGTCCGTTAACTTTCAAGAAAAAATTAGTTTCATAGCATCGAAAGATCACGACATCTAAAAAATATCATCGAAAGACGTCCGTCACGTAAAATACCACTGAAAGAGTGAACTGTTACATTCTGTCACGGTTGCTGCTGCCACCGTGAATCCCCCCCGTCAGGCACCTTTCTTCCCCAATCCAGCGGTTCCTCCATCGTCCGTATGAGTTCTCCATCTAGCAGCTCCTCGCCTCCTCTGTCTCCGCGAGGCAACACCGCCGAGGATGAAGGACCTCACGTATAAGCGAACAACCCCCGCACGCAAAGCCTTGCTGAACGTGCGCACCACCGGCTCCAAAGCTCCCGGTGAACCTCCTGGGAGATCGCAGCACGCACCGATGCCGCAACCATCTTGAATCGAACCTTCCTCCCCTCCTCGCCGCGCCGGACATCGGGTGGGACCCTACCACGGGCTACTCGGCGGCGTCGTGATTGACCACTGCGTCCTGCTTACCGCCGCCGCCGGCATCAGCTGTTCCTTCATGCTGATTGCCGTGGACATGGCAAGGAACCTGGACTACGTCACTGCGGAACCTAGGAACGCTTCATCACCGCGAAGACCCCGGCCAGGCCAGCGTGGTTTTCACTATTTTTTCATCCCGCACGAACACAGCTAAATAATCAACATGCAAGCGGCGGTGCTGGTGATGGTGGCTGCACTGGCCTCCGTGATTTTCACTACCTTTTTTACTACTCTTCTGCAAGGATGTGTTTGCAGACCATGAGCGACCAATCGTTCAAGGTGCTTGTGTTCATGTCGGCATTTATCACTATACGCGGTTACTGACTACTACGGCACAGATGCTGCCATACTAGTACGCGTACGGCGGCGGTGGATCGAGGCGCATTCTACGGGCACGGTGGCAGTACTCCCTCTGATGCCTGGCACAGACATGTCCATATTCATGGTAGGCATCGCTGCAGTGGTTCATGGAAAATCCCAATGGCCGAGTGGCTGCGCGCTCCTAGCTAGGCGATGAGCTCCTAGGTCGTCTTCGTCCTCCTTGCCATCGCTGTGCCCGCTGCTGTCGTCTGCCTCTTCCCCGTTGACCTGGCACTGCTTCGCCGTGGCACTTCGATGGGCAGGTCCCAGGCCTCGATCACCCTGGTCGCGTCGGCGACGGAGCGCTCTCACGCGGCGTTGGGTACAGGCACGGCGCTCACCCTGTTGCCAGACCAAGGGGCACGGAGCTGCTATACCTCCTGCACGCGAACGGAGAAGCTGCTAGACTGAGAAAGAGGAGGGCTTGACGGAGGGATTCACGGCATTAGTGTCTACCGTGACGCGACGGAATGCTATTTAAAGATAACGTTCCACTCTTCTAGTGGTATTTTACGTGACAGTCGTCTTTTTGATGGTATTTTTCGAATGCATTGATTTTTCAATGCTATGAAACCAATTATTTCAATTTTCAAAGTAAATTTTTTGGTCCATTAATTTTGAGTCTATCTACTACACAGTCATGTGTTTTATACAGTTTCAATACATAAATTTTTTTGCACCATAGGATTAAGATCCAACAGCCTCTACCTTTCTTTTACCTCCAACCTCCACAGATCACAAATCATAATTTTTTTCTATGAAAAGATAAATCATAGATCCGTTGCCGTCGCCGCCGCTGCCACCGCCACTGCCATGGCCGGCGCGGACGCGAAGCAGGGCAACCCGTACCTAATCGGCACGGGCGCTCTGGAGCACGCGTCCATCGAGCAGTGGCTGCAGACGAAGGCGCAGAGCTTCGACTCGCCCAGCGCCGAGATGGTCTACAGCCTCGCCATCCTGTCGCCCACCCTGCCCAGGCAGTAGAACGACAACAACGGCAGCGGGTTCAACGCCAGGGACGTCGCCATGGGCAGCAATGCCGCCGCGTCCAGCGGCAAGCGCGGTGTGGCCGGGTCGCAACAGTCGCCGGCGAGCCAGAGCTAGGTGAGCCCGCAGAAGGAGGAGATGCTGAAGCTGTTCGAGCAGAGGAAGGACCTCGAGAAGCTGTTGGACATCTACGAGCAGCGGCCGGACAAGGCCAAAAAATTCGTGTTTTTTTTTCTAAGTGTTGTATAGCATTTCTGTTAATTTTTAGTGATGTGTCATCCAGGTCCATCAACTTTCAAACTGTATTTTTTGGTCTATTAATTTTTGGTGATATGTAATTCAGGTCCATCAACTTTTAAATTATATTTTTGGGTCCCTAAACTTTTTAATTGGTTCACCGTAGGTCCATATCTCTTTGTTTAGCGAATAGATCTAACATAGCACGCCAAATAAGCAGCCACCGTGGAGTAGGTGATGAGTCCATAGCTCCTCAAGATGCTCATAGAGACTTATCTAGCAATAATTCAAATGTAGCAGTTGGTAATTCGTTAATATTCTCTGGTCTTAAATTTAAAACTATTATTTTTAAGGATAAATATATTATGAACATGAAGAAATTTACAACTGTTGGACTGTCATCAAAGATATTTTATAGAGGTACCTTATTATTACGTGAAAAGGAGGAGAAAATAAAGGCAACAAAATACATAAGTACTATTCTAAAGAGGTGGAGATTATCGATGGAATTTTTCCAACGTGATTAGCATTCTTGCCATAGTATTTTATTATTTCCATGTAGTAGTTTTCTATCCAGTTGTGATACACGAACTTTTATCTAGCATCTAGCTTTTAGTGCCTACATGCACATGTGTACGTGAATCAAATTAGTGGCTATGTTTGGACGTGTCATACATGTTAGCCGAATCAGGAACTCAGGGTTAATCGATTCTAGTTGGGCTGGTGGAGTTCGAGTTTTGTTTGAGTCAGGTGGCTTGCGTACCTATACCTGTGGCCTTCGGCCTTATACCAAGTAGATTAGACTGGATTTTATTGTGGAGTTTATTCGTCGTCGAGCCGCCGCTCGAGAAACCCTAGATGGTTATCCCATCAGATTCATCGTATTGAAGATTATCTTCGGATGGTGATCTCATCCTGTACTCCACGGTAGCTGCTTATTTGGCGTGCCATGTGAGATCTATTCGCTAAACGAAGGGGTATGGACCTACGGTGAACCAGTTAAAAAATTTAGGGACCTAAAAATACAATTTAAAAGTTGATGAACCTGGATAACACACCACCAAAAATTAATAGACCAAAAAATACAGTTTAAAAGTTGACGAACCTGAACGATACACCACCAAAAATTAATAGACCCAACAAAAATATAGTCTGAAAGGTGATGGATCCAGATAATACACGAACAAAATTTAACTCTCCGATAAACAAAGGACAGATGTACCTGTCTCGGTCGACTGCCATTTGCTTTCCTCGGATGAAGACCCCATGTCGTTCCAACTTGTTTGGCTTCGTTATTGCAAATCCAAGGTTCAAGTTGTGGTCTTCTCGTCAGACACCGGGGATTGGTTCTTTCACCCTTGGGTGGAAATCGAGGAGAGGGCACTGTCGAATGATGCCGACACACATTGGCTTCAGTTTGGGGTGCGATCAAATGACACGCTGTACTGGGCTTTCACGAACCTGGAGCACGTGCTGAAGCTGGACACAGCAACAATGGAGTTCTCTGTTTCTGAGCTCCCACCATACCTGAAGGGTCTGCAGGGTTGCCACTTGGTTGTTGGCGAAACTAAGGACGGTGCCCTTTGCATTGTTTTCTGCATCGGGGGGAGCATTTTTGTGTCCATGAACAGAGCTGATGATGATGGTGTGGTGAGGTGGGTTCTGCGTAGCGTGGACTATGAGGCAGACGCAAACCCACCAGAAGACATTGATACACTGCAAGCCATGTCTATTGTGGATGGGTTTGTCTACTTGGTCACATCAGAGATGGTTGTGGCGCTGTGCTTAGAAACAATGAAGCTGGAGAAGCTGTTTCCGAGGAGTTTTCGTGCCCGTCATTTCCATCCCTACATCATGGCATGGCCTCCTTCTTTAG